GGGGGGGCAAGTTGAACAAGAAAATGAGATAGGGAGTAGATGAGGTAGGATTTGGAGAGAAATGGGGTAGACAGGTTTGGATCTATTACAGATTTTTTAAGAAAAAAATAAAGATTTTTTTTTTTTAATTTTAAGAATTCAAGGAGATGCTTAACATTTTAGTGGGACATTGAAGTATTTATTTATTTATTTTGGGGGGGAATATACTTGGCTCCGCCCCTGGTGCCAACCGACTGGTTGGTAAGGTCTCCTGCTGGTTGTAGTGGAGACTTGGGATCGAATCCCACCAGCACCTGGGTTGGGGAGGTTTATGGGTTTGAGGGATGGGCTAACCCCCGTTGTGTAGCCCCTTGGGAAAAAAACAACTTGATCTGCACAAAAATGCCACTACAACAGTTCATGCCATTTCCAGATAAAAAAGGTGCCAACCATCATAAGTCAATCAACCTTAGCATAACTTTATGTTAATCCGCTTGGAAAGTCAACAAAACTGAGAAAAGATCAAACCCCACATTCTTCCATATCTAGGTGAACTAACGGCTTCTATATCAGATTGCACCCATTCAAGTGATGATAAAGGCTTGTTTTTCTATTCACAGCTATATCATTTCGGCAATAGTTCTTAATGAACACATGATACAACGAAGTAGACCTAAATTTTTTTTTTTGGAAACTACGTAACTACGTAAATAACACTCTTGGAGTGCAGGAGACATTGAGGAATATTAATTTCCCATTCAAATAAGGAAAAAGAGAAACACATAATCACGGAATTACCTTCTCAAGAAAATGTGATGCATAAGGCAGTTATGCAGTTATTTTGGGGGTAAAAGATGCATAACCAAAATCAATTTATGTGCGTTTAAAGCATAAGAGGCAACCGATACGTGTGCCAAGGTTAACAGATGATACACATCAAATGGAAAAAGGAAACCTGAATTCTTCCATCAGCATTCCACATAGTCTCCCCGTGCCGCACCACGATAATTTCGGCATAATCAGGAGGAACAGTACCGAATCCAGAGCCCCCGTTGCAATCAGATTGCAGAGACAAGCTTATCATTGAGTCATACAAATGTGTCATTTGGATTTAAATACAATAACAAGATACAGAGCTAAAGTTCCTGATTCTAGAAAAAAGAAAGGAAAACCAAACCGAAGTTACATCAAAGATACTGAACAACGATACCTAATATGAAGAAGAAAACCTTATTAGGGCGGAAAATAAAGATCTAAACCCTAATTTAAGAACAACCTCTCAAGATAACTCGATGGAATTGAAGAAGAAAGATTGGCAGAGAACCTAGAATTTGAGTTTTCAACGGTGGAATCGGCCATTTTGAAGAGGTGCGTCGAGCGGTGGAAGGCGAGAAAGTCCCGTTCTACTCCTCCACTTCCACCTGCGATTTCCTTGTTCTTCCCGAGCGAGAAGCTGTTTGAGCACCAAACCACCTTGAAGCGGAGATGGGACGGCTTACGGAGATAAATCAGAGGAATATTAGCGGGTATTGCATTTGCAATCATAAATACGAGCTTCACAATATGCGTCCCACGTTGTTAAGAGGAAGAGCGCAGCGCACACAATTGCTTTTAGAGTTTTAGTTTTAGGCTCGAACTCGAAGCCTTCTCTTTTATAACAGGAGCCAATTCATGGGCCGGACCGAACCTGAAGCCCAGCCCATGAACAACCTGCCCAATTACAGCATCGGGCCCATTCGACCAATAAGAGGCAGTGGAGGGGTTCGACTATGATACCGAAAAACCTTGTAAACAATGAATCAGTATCATAAAAATGGTTAAATCAATCAGGTGGTATTCATCAAAATTCATGGGGTTTTTAATTGGTCAAAACTCTTCTGCTATTTTTCTAATAAAATAAAGAATAAATCTATGGTGCCGGAAAAAAATGATACCAGGAGAGCTTTGATCAATCAAAATCCCATGTGTCACATTTGATTAGGGGTGAATTCGAGCCAAGCCGAGTTGAGCCAAATATTTGAGTATTCAAGCTCATCTCGGTAGAAAAATGCAAGGTTCGAGCTCGGGTACGAACTTGATTCAAATTGAAAATGTAAGCTCAAGTTCGGCTCTATTGCATAATTCATATGTTCGAGCTCGATAAGTGAACAGTTCTTTCTTCTTGGGTACCAATTGAATTTATGCATGAAGCAAAACACCACTCCTAATCCTCCAAAGTATCAATGCTCAATGGTGTACTCTCAAGTACCACAACTTGAATCTTTGCAAGAAGCAACAGAATACTTCTAATGGGTACAACATCCTTCAACCATTGCAGTTGGAGGTAGGCCAAAGGCTGAAACAGCAGGGGTATTTACAATTTCCAACTCTTTACTAATTTTTGTATTGAATCGGGGGTGTTACCTCTGATTTTCAAATGCTCTTGTTTCCTTATGGGGGTGGTAGTCTTTACTGTCCACGAGTGAACCCAAAGCGGTCCTTCAAGTCCCAACTGTAAAGAAACCCCAAACCCAAATCATCCACAGAATCACAGAATGAGAAGAAGAAGAAGTCTCGTACCTTGAATCTCCATTAAACAACTTCCATGGGTCGAATCTCTATTGAACAAGTTCTGTAGCTTGAACAGAGAAGAAGAATGAGTGTTGTCATCTATTCGTGTCGTATTTATCTTGTCTTCAACTAAATAAAGCATCGGAGTTTGGATTTGAACTCTGCACTTGCAATCGTATGTGATTGTTATTGTGAGAGTTGAGAGATGAGAGTTTGAGAGATGAGAAGCTTCACCGAATGAGTGTTTTTACGATTTCCCTCTCTTTGGTAATAGAGACAAAACCATCCTCTAGCAGGGACCATGATTGTAATTTGTACCTCACCAATGGAATTCATTAAAACAGTTTAATAATATATATTTAAATATATACTTAGTATATATAAGCTCGAAATCTCACGAGCCTAACGATCCGAATTTCAAAATGTTCGAGTTTGGCTCAATTTACATACGAACTATATTTAAAGCTCGAAGATCGATTTGGGCTGAGCTCGAGCAGCTCATGAATAGCTTGACTTGTGTCGTCCATTCCTACATTTGATGAATACCACCTCATTGATTACCACTTCTATAATATCAGTTACCCTCATCATTTCAGAAAGTAGGAGTACAAATCATGTACCCAATTTGAAGAGTTTACATTGCATTGGGCTTGGGATTTTGTTTCAGGTTCATTGAAAATTTAATAATTTCTCAACCCAAGCCCACTCAAATTGGACTGACATTAAGGGTACAAAGGAAACACTGGCATGTACAATTATGATTGAAAAAAAAAAAAAAAACATAAGAAATGAAGTAGGGATGATATTGTACACACAAGGGCTGTAACATTCACTTTGAATTTGGTGATAGCTCTTACTTTTTACCAATTACTTACTACCCATTTGGTTCGGGGGAATAAGGGTATGGAATCGGAATCAAAATGGATCATTCCGAATCCAATTGTTTGGTTCAATGAAATCGAAATTCCATTCGCATTTCAGGTAGGATGGCATTCCTCCATTTGAGGGAATGGCCTTTTCCTTTCTCTTCATTGATAATGAAATCCCATTCTAGCTGATTCCAATTCCCATCCGATTCCTATCTGAACCAAATAGATTATGGGAATAGACCATTCCGATTCCAATTCCAATGGATTTCGATTCCGATTTCAACTATAAACCAAATGGACCTTTAGTATATTAACCAATGAATAATAATGAATTGGAATGGGAATGGTCCATTCCCATAGTCTGTTTTGGTTCAGAGAATAATGGGAATGAGAATTGGAAACAACAGGAATGAGATTCCATTTCCAAGAGAGGGGCAAGGAATGGCCAATCCCTCAAATGGGGGAATGCTATTCCAGTAGGAATGGGAATAAAATTCCAATTCCACCCAACCAAACAGTTGGAATCGAAATAGCCCATTCCGATTTCGATTCTAGACCCCTATTCCTATGAACCAAACGGGGAAAAAAAAAAGAACTTAAACTACAAAAATGAAAGGAAATTTGAGCTTCACAAAGTTCATTGACAATTAAAAGGATCATACAAAACGTGCATATTTCTGGGGGATAATCTCTTTAGGTGGGACCTGATGGATCCTGTTCTCTAAAAATAAGACAAATGACAAACTATGGAGCCTTATACCCATATCCCAGCCTTGTATATCATAACCGAGATACTTGAAAAAACTAAGAAGAGAGAGAAGTATGGTAGTACTAATTCATTGGCTCCCATTTCTAGAAAGTATGAAAACAAAAAATCTATCTATATACTTAAAGCATTGGGACAGTGTACGATAGCATTGGGAGGTTGACACTTATATGTTTTTTGTTCTCTAAATTGTTGATACGTGTCCCTTTCTCTTCTCTTCTTTATTCTCTCTTTTCTCCCATTTCTCTTTGTTTGGAAAATTATAAGAATGCCACATATAAGAGAAACCTCCCTATATAATTGTCTCTATAATATTCAAAAATTATAGCAATGTCACATATAAGACAAATCTCCTTATATAATTGACTCAATAGCATTCGGAAATTATAATAGTGCCACATACAATTATTTACGATTATGACATCCTATAAATAGAATGACATTCTTCTTCTTTCTCAACTCTCTCTCTCTCCCTCCTTTTCTCTATCTCAACTTTTATTTATTCATTTATTTGTTTTATTATTATTATCTAAACATTTATTTATTTAATAAAATTAAATAAATTATTTATTTTAATAAAATAAATCGGTAGAATAAAAGAGATGTGGCATTAAGAGATAGATTTCAATAAACCTTTATTTATTTATTTAGAAATAATTTACTAACAAATTATTCTCTCCTCTTGAGCCCAATATTTAATGTTGTCAATGGGTCAGGTCTGGTTCAAGATAGCCAATACCAGTCCCATCCTAATAGACTTTTATTTATTTATTTAAGAAAAATTACGGTTGAACCAATGGTTGGGTCTATCTTGATGGAGCTAAATTGACTGAACACAATAATAACGGTTTTGGTTCCATGATTTTGTCTTGATTAATTATTGAATTGATTCTCATTCTTACTTGTCCAGAATTGATTCAAGTCTGGAACCAAACATTTTATGAAATATATAATTTTTTATCTTTCTTTTATTTTTATCATGTTTTATGTAGGACTGTAAATGGAGAAAATTCGAATTGAATCATGTTATATTTGAATTCAAATTCGATTACAAAATTGAAGATTCGAATTTGGTTCGGTATTTGATGGATACTCAAAAGTAAAAACTAAATTTGAATTCGACTTAAATAATCGAATATTCGATTAATTCGAATTTGATAGATTAAACCTAATTCTTGAAACCAAACAATCAAGCATTCTCATTCCCTTTGAATGAACTACAGAGAAAGGAGAAAATATCTTGTTTCATTTTTAACAATCTATGGAGACAAACCTGATTCTATGAATGATGAAGACATACGAAGAACAAGGGGAAAAATAAAAAGAAAACAAAAAACTAATACAATCTAGAACAAATAATAAGTCTTCGGTAACATAGAGAAAGCAAGACAGATGAGGGAGGAGTGAGAGAGAGAGAGAGAGAGAGAAAAGAAAGGAGAAAATATCTTGTTTCATTTTCAAGGATCTATGGAGACAAACCTATTTCTATGAATGATGAAGACGAACGAAGAACAATGAGAAAAATAAAAAGAAAACAAAAAACTAATAAAATATAGAACATATAATAAGTCTTCGGTAATGTAGAGAAAGCAAGAGAGATGGGGAGGGGAGAGAGAGAGAGACTTTTACAATCTTTTCGTATGTTATAAAATCAATGAATAACAGCTGCAACTATGATTTAACACTCTTTTGCTTCATCAATACATGTCCTTCTTTGCCTTTAATATATGCTATTCATATTTTTGAAATCTCTTATGAAAAAACTAGTGAAAAAGATAGAAGGGAGGGAAATGGGAAACTTCAAAACTGGCTTAAGGTCAGAGATGAGATGGAGTAGGTACTAAAGGGCATAGATGAGATGGAGTAGGTCATTTTGACCGAATTAATAATTATTTTTTTATCTCCTGTCAAAAAGTTTGTACCGAGTGGTCTTATCATGTCAGGAGTAATTAATTCTCCTTTTTATATAATAATGTATCTAATATCAAAATGTTAAGACACTTTGGTTGAGTTTTCTTTTATAAAAAGTCATGACACTTATAAATAATATATTATATTATATTATAATAATCGAATTCGGATAATTATCGAATCGAATCAACGTGTATTTGAATTTGATTCGATTGCTTTCGATATTGAATTCGAATTCAAATTTTTGAATACCGTTGAAACCCCTAGCTTTATGTTTGAAATAGTAAATTTGATAAATAATAAATAAGATAATATTAGTTAAAAATGTTTAACTTATAAAAAATAAATTACTATTATTTTGACTATTATTTTCAATATAATGAGGTTTATGATTTGATCTCAATTAAATAATCTCGTCAAGACTGGTTCTACGTGGTTGTTTATTCTTCATAATAATATAGTTATAGTTATTTTATTTTAAAAAAATATAACCTAATTTATTATTGTATCTCCAAATAGGCGTAAAAA